CCGTGTCAGAGAGTGTTCTCAGCACGCAAAGAATCTAGGAACACATCAGTGACACAGTAATGAAAAAGAAGCCAAATAGGGGGAAGAAATGGGGAAAAAACAGACGAAACCTGAAAATGCAAAAACAATAGCGAAAAAAGCATTTAAAACAACAAAAATTACACCAAACCAACAAAAAAAGCAAGACACTAATACAATTTATCAAGTAAAGAAAGAAAAAGTAACTTACCTTCTCGAAAGCCGGCCGAAATAAGACGATTTTTGGAGAAAAATCGGCTTCGTCGAGTCGATAATCAGCTGATCGCCGCGCCAGCCGTCAATGGGCAGAGACATGAGTACTAGCGGTTCGTGTCTGACGCGCGAAGGGATTGCAGATCGCAGGGTAGCTCGGCCCCCTCCGTTTGCGCCGCGACCAGATTGCTACTGATGTGACGCGTCGCTGGGCATCTCGGCCTGCGGGTCCTCCGAACGCCACATAATCACGGCGATAGGATACGAACACTGTAGTGTCTTGTGTTTGCGTCTGTAATGGCGGCAATTGAACAGTGCTAATTATTTGTAAATTCAGTCGTAATAACATAAGATGAACTGATCGTGCGTCTAAAGGTTAGTAGTCGTCGTTGAACCCGAGCTGCCTTGCACATGTTGTAGGGAAAGGTGTTAGGGTCGTTTACCACCCATATAAGTACAGACTGCTAAATTGATACGAAATTGGACGTTGCAGGCGGGCGCATACTCAGTATTTTTCACATATTGGGAACCCATACTTTGACAGATGGAGCAAAAAGTCGCGTCCGCTGACCCTGCCGAATCATCTCTCTCATTGGCCCAAGCGTGAACACGGACTTGAAATCCCGGCTTTTCTATCAAGAAACCATCGAATTCCGTCCAAGATTATCAAAGACCAATTGAGACACTTACACGCTGGCCTTTCGCGCTGCAAGTTTATATGTATAGGCCATAAGCAATATACATTAACACCACAACGATCCCAATGAAGTAACAATATAACCGTGTCAAGGACATACAACACAAAAATAAAGAAATGCACGAGAGGCAAAGACTTCTCCTTTTAACAGCGATCAAGAAATCTGCTTACGTTATTTATGGTGTAAATATACATATCCTTTCATTTTAACTATTAGTGAGTGAGAGTCGACAAAAAAAGGAAGGCAAGATACTTGACGGGAATGGCCAGTCAACGCGAGCATATTAATGTATGCCGAAACCGTCCGCAAGTAGGCGTAGGGCGAGCGCGTTCCTCGCTATGCATACAGACTGTCGATCGGGAGCACAGAACTTCATGCTAAATTGTAATGTCTACTGTCGCCATCTACGAGCACTAAAGAAAGCCATGACCGACTCATCGCCCAAATGCAGCGAAAATCACGATTTGCCGTTGATCAAAATACCTCGTTTTTAACCCTTGCGGCATAACTTTTCGCGGATATCATCAATTATATACAGACAGCCTGCACAACCTTGATCTAGAAAAATAATATGCATAAGCAGAGAGCACGACCTATTTAAGGAGGCTCACGGAGGTACCTGTAAAGATAATCATTTGACAGTACCAGAGTACCACAAGCCATAGTTCTTTAATGTGTTCCAATCGTGCCTGCTCCGCTCAACGATAACATTCGGCCTTGATTATTTCACGCATCTATGTGTACAGGCCGACCGCGGTAAAACTGGTAAATGCCATGTATATACAAAAAGCGGGCTCATTGAACCATTTCGCAGCTTCCCAAGTGTTTACAGGTTCACCAAAGTGAGACCTGTTAATGATATGAACAAGCAAAAGGATTTAGTGAAAGTGTGCCCCTCCTCACCCCAATAGCTCCGAAATTTGATTTCATCGCTGGTTTTTCGCATAGTAGACGGAGTTGCAGGTGATGTTCCCCGCCCTTGTCGGCCATGTTATAATTTCAACTTCCTCTCCCTCATCACCATACGGTAATTTTACCATTTCTGAAAGCTGACCGAAGGCCTCACCAGTACCGTTCGACGAGTTCTGGATAAGGTTCTGAGTCAACCACGTCTACTTGTGTGTTACATACCTACCACCCGATCTCGAGCTAGTGGGGGTCTCCAGTCGTTCTGCAACTTGCTGAATTGTCCAATGGGTTCTCTGGGCTAGTGAGACGCCATGCACTCCATAGCACTAATTGGGGGTTTTGACAAAGTGTAACCATCGAGTTGACGAATGCTAAGCACCCTTTCACGTTCAGTAATCGGGGAAGGAAAAAAGGATAAAGCCTTCGCCGTCTTGGGATGGGATCTTAAGATGCGGTACGCTTTCTGCTAGCATTCAGAATCGTAGTAACTTACTGACTGCGACGAGAACTAAATAACTTGCGTGGGCCAGCCGATGCACAAGTCAGCGTGCTTATCTTGAATTGGTACCACATCACCGTCCTCGAGGGGGAGGCGTGACAGGCCCGCGTTTACATTATACTACTCATTCTTCATCTTCAACGCTGTCCCTTTCCTCTTATTTTGTGACGCCACTTCTCCAGATTGAATGAATCGGGAAGGGTGCCAACTATCTTCAGGTCCGCAAGCAGCGTGTCTAGCTAGCGCTGTTAGAAGCGCCCTTACACTGAGTCGCTTTCCGGGCACATCAAGCTCAAGACCTTTTTTAACAGACGGTGTAATAAATCGCGAACAATTCGCGTCAAATTTACAGTACATGACCCTACCGAAGGTGGGATTCGCCGATTTCCTCGACTATAGGGGCTACACCGAATTTCATGCATATGTCATCATTGCAAACGCCATCCTACGCGTGGCGGCACCTCTATGATCCAGGAACAGCATTCACACGATATATCTCCGACATGTCGACTGCAGTTCTCAGGACTTCGACTTGAGACATATTCCCGCGATCCACTACTACCATATGGCAGTTCATGGTCCAAATGCAGTCAACAGCCTCTGACTGGCGCTCCTAAATTAGGAGAATCAGGAAGAGTAAAAGAAGCAAAAAATACATTGAGAAACCTCAGAACACTCGATGACATCACTCAGCATCCTTTCATTGTACTATTTCTCGACTCTTCTTTTGACCTAGTCCTGAGCCTCTGTGCACCCATAGCTCACTGAAACTTTCCTCTCATTTCCTGTACTATAATGCCATGTAAAATCAAAAAAAAAAAAAAGAAGAAAAAACAAAAAAATAGGGCAGCACACAGCTCTCCAAGTAGCTCTGTCCGTGACACTTAGGACTAGTGTTGTTCAGCACGCCCATTCCGGGTCTCCCTTGAAGACTGCTACAGTAACACAATTGTTTCCAAAAACGTATTCAGTGAAGCAAAACAATCTCGTAAGGCTCGCAAAGAGTCACAAGCCTAGATTCTCACCATCGAAGTAAAAATCGCTCTACGAAGCTCGCGTCAACACAAAGCACACGTGCACCAGCGCGTAAGCCGTTGTCTTGCAGAGAGAAAATAATAGAGGCTGAATAGTCATACATCTCGGTATTGTACTCAGTAGTAGTTCCGCCATCAAGTGACACAAGTCAATTCTCTCGCCGTGCGGACGCGAATGACAAAGGTACAGAGATCATTTCGCGGTCACTTGATCGGTGGAACCTGCCTTTGAATCGCGTCTGTATTCCTCTTTCTCAACCGGAACGTCTTGAATGCGTTCTGGTATCCTCTTTTCTCAAAGAATGCCAGTTATAGAGCGCGACTTCTGTGGGACCAGATTGCACACACACGCGAGCTCACGTGCGAGTCCAGACGGCCGTCAGACGTAATTGTTGATCCGAGATATTTCAACATTGCTGCACGCGTCAGCACACAGCCACCGACCCTAATCCGCGTTCAGACTTTGTACGCGGGCTGCGAACGGGGCGCTCCATCGCCAAACGCTGGACCGCTGCAACGGCACAATTCATACTGGCATTGTGTGAAGGTCGCGATGTAATTTGGATTCTGTCGTTGCGGCGCTGTACCGCTTGGCGGGGGCGCCCCAGGTTATGGTTGCCGATCGCGCGATCCAATCGCTCGAGCGATCAGATGGCGAAGTTTAAACGCGGTCTAAGAGGACCGGACTCTTTCAAGTCGGTTGTCTATTCGGTTTTTTTGCTCACAACTACATAAATCAATACGATTTATGGTGTAACGTTCACACAAATCTCTTCACTGAAGTAAACAATCGATCCAAGAATCTAGTAGACCAATCTGCAATAACGGGGTGTTTTGAGGAATCGGGAAACGTCAGTAGTACACTAAACGATCATAAAGCCTCCTAACATCACCAAGTTACCAGTTAATAACTTATATATGTCCGCATATACAGAAAGGGCTTCTCTTTTTCAATAGGTTTTGTAAGAGTCTACGCAGTCCAGTAACAGAAACGAATGAAAAGAGCAATTAAAACGAGACAAAGCGAGGGAGGATGAACGAGAAGGATCGACTAGCTCTAAAAAAAATTCTGTGGTAGTGCTGCGCAAAACACCCACTTGAACACCGAGTAGGGTAAGGCTACTAGGAACGAACGAATGAATGAATGAACGAAAACCATGCATATGTATATAAAAAATATCTGGTAACATTTGAAGAAAAGGACAGCCAACGATGACGAATATGAGCAAAATACAACACAAAACTCGTCTTCAAAAAGTTAAACATTGAGAAACAATAGAATTCGACAATGTACAAGCGAAAAACAGTTGTGAAAACCCCAGAGAAAATTAAAAGCGAACAGAAGGGAAGAAAAAGCAACAATTTATTAGCATAGTAGCGCCATAGTGATCGAATCCTCTAATGAAATCTACATGGTAGATCTCATATAACAGAGGTATGAATCAAACAACTTCTGGCACTTACTATGTCAGGCCATTTCATAATGCGAAAATCTTGTACAGGAAAGAACTTCAGCGAAGGAAATAATTCCTTTGGAAAAACTACGAGTACTACGAGCATAACAACGGATAATAGTAAAGTAATATAGAAACGAGAACGAAACTTTGACTGAAATCCCAAACATTTTGTCTATCTCTTTTGTCCAGATGCGATTGTTACAGTCTCGATCTCTCCCTGATTGACCCGATTTGGATCTGAGGTTGCACGAAAACCCAAACATGAGCCATCAACAACGAGACGAGCGCCCTGAAGATACTACTTTTAATCCATTTCGTACCGCAGCGTTTTCGCGAAAACGGGCGCCTGTGGCCGACGCCTTTTTGTCGACGCGACTCGTGGCGCGCCGAGTATAAACAAATGTGATTTTTATCATATACATATGACATAAAAATAATGCATATACTTCGTATTATACATTACACTTGTATGCATGACTGTGATAAGTAAAATAAGATACCATTACGAAACATCATGGACTGAAAACATACAAAAATTGACAAAAAGGTTGATAAATTCAAGAAGGATTGGAAACAGGACGTAATATGTTTATAAATTGTTCAGCTTTACTATTTTGCGAATTTTTAGTGGAGTCACAGCCAGAGTTTTGGCTTGACTGGTTACTAAGAAATAAACAAAGGATATAGTAGCTGAATAATTTCCCAAAAAATTTTGATAACTCAGCTCTAGTTTGGTCCCGCAATTTCCCACACATATTTCTTTCCAGGAGACCATATATACTGACACTCTTGAGTCAGCGAACAATGCTAAATAAGTTCAAACGAAGCGTGCTGCTGCACCATGTGTAGCACGCGGCCATACAGAGGCAAACGGGCGTGCTGCACATGGTGCAGCACGTGGTACGCAATGGGTCAAGCACGATTCGGCTTGGTGGGGGCAAAGAACGATACCCAGCTGAACGAGGCCACCCTGTGATCACCTGTAAATTGCAGTGACCAGAGCGGCTAACTCAAATTTCGCAGCTTCACACGACTTCACAGGCCTGGCCAAAGTGTGACCTAGCTAGCCTGAACTAACAAAAGTAACGAGTAAAAATGCAGAATGCTCTCTTAGTGACAGCAAAAATGCAAAATGCTCTCTCCCAGCCAAAAAGCGCTCAAAGTTAGAATTTGGAAACGATAAAGAACAAAAGATAAAGTCTCGTCGGATGCGGCACGCATTCTACTTCCATTCAGAATCGTAGTGGCTTATTGAATGCGATGTGGCCTATACAATGACTTGCGGGGGCCAGCCGATGTACAAGTCAGTGTTTTATCCTCCCAGACGAATCTTGGAAGATAAAACACATAATTTACCGTTCCCTGAGAGTGGAAAGCTTGGTTGATCTGGGCGGGAACCCAGACTCGATCGCCGAGCCGTGCGAGTGGTAAGCGTGCCATTTGCTACTATACCACCTCCCCTCACGGAAAAGGATATAAAGAATCAAACCTATGCGGCACCCATTTCACTCCCATTGAGTAACTCAGTGAATGCGATATGGCCCACATAATGACTACCGGTGCCGGCAAATGCAATGTGGTCTACACAATGACCAGCGGGGCCAGTCGATGAAGAGATCAGTATTCTTACCCTTCCAGACGAATCTGGTACTAATTGCCCGTCTGCAAATGGTAGAAGGCTAGGTTGGCCAGGGCGGGAGCCGAGAGCGCCGAACATGTGGTAAACGCGCCAAGCCACTTCGGGTGGGTTGACGCGTCCATGCAGAGAAACAGCCTTATACCCCGAAATTCGGGTAATAATGGTTAATGTAATGCACGAGGAAATTATAGTTAGGTGGAACTACTGCACCTTATTTTTCTTCTTTTTCCCCTGCACTGCCGAAAAACCTGCTCCATTACCCGAAACTGGAGCAGCACGAGCACTTGAGAGATCCTGAACGAATAGGCATCAATTCTTCAAGTATGTGGTAGAATTGCCACTCACATTTTTTACCGCGTTTTGCTTACGATTACGGAAATCGCTTCTTTTTAGTAGGAATTCTCTGACAAACTCTTTCACAGCCTTCGAATCTCCCAGGTATCCCATCACGTAGTCTTCCACCTAAACAGTTTTGAGTTGCTCATTTCAAAAAGAACAGCAACTCCACTTATATTCAACGATATGTGTACAAAAAAGAGAAAAGAAATAAGAAAAAAGAACCGTACAGACCTCGTCAGGGTTCTCAACACCTTCGATGAACATGGCAAGAACTTCTGCTTCAACGGCGTTCCCCCCGAAATTGAGCTCTTTCAACCTCTGAACTACCCACTCCAAAAAGACACTGTTGTCTTCACCCAGACCCAGAGCGCGTTTCGCAGCCTGAAACCTACTGTATTGAAGCAAGCTCTGCTGGAGACACCACAGAGTGATATGAACGACCTTTTCATTAGCTAGAGCGTTGGTTCCACTTTTAGAGGCAGATGACTTCGAATTCGACGATTTTTCAGCTGCTGATTTCTTGCCTGCGTTTGCTGGAGCCTTGTTGGCTGTCTGCAATGGCGGACTGTCCCAGAACGGAGAAGAAGTGGCCTGAAAGACGCATCATTTCCGCTCTGGTCTTGCCATAAGCAGAACGTTCGCATCGAATGAAGTTCATGTAAGAAAAAACATACTAAAATTTGAGTGGAATTGGGGAAAAGTCGGTAAAGTAGTTAAGAAGTCAGCCAAGTTTTTGTGTTGAGTTAAACACTGATGGTATGCCAGGTGATGGTAAAAATCTTTGAGTTGAAAATTTTCAAAACTCTTTCTAGTCAATTCAGTCAAGTCAAGTCAGGTCAGTCAGTTCAGTCAGTCAGTCAGTCAGTCAGTCAGTCAGTCAGTCAGTCAGTCAGTCAGTCAGTCAGTCAGTCAGTCAGTCAGTCAGTCAAGTCAGTCAAACACACCACCAACACAACGGCACACACCACACACACACACACACACACCACACACACACACACACACACACAAGATCTTTCTCCAATGATTTCATTTTCTTGAGCACCTTAGCCATACTACTTCCTAGAAGATACCTACCGTTTGTATAAGAATCAAAACAAAGCTTAAAGGTACGCCCCACGTTGCCTGGCACCACCAGGATTCGTTTAGAAATGAAAGTTAGGCGTTTCCCTGGCCAGTGGGAGGGCTGGCTTCGTCACGGGCGGGTCGTGCTTTCATCATGCACTTTTGACAAGTTCAGTTATTCGTGAACGCTAAATTCTATTTTGATTGCATTCGAAAAATTATTTCGTGTTGAAAAAATAAATCCGTTTCTCATGTTTCAGCCTTTGCATTGGAGTCTTCAACTTCTGATAACTTCCCAAACAAGGTAACCCAATACATTCGAAAGATAGGCAATTTTGGAGGGACGGAGGGAGCAAGAACCTATTTCCACGAATTCGTAGATAGTGACCAAGAAATCTGACAGTTTCTGAAGAGCTGATTACAAATATGAAAAGTAAAATTGTTATCAGCATATTGCAAGCAAGTTATGAACGGAAGAAATTCTGCAATGATGCAATGGCACAGACAAGCCAATTCGCGCATCTCAGTTTGGCTAGAATTGGCCATCCTCGGGGATATTGGGCTCTCTGGATACCATATAAGTTCAGCGCAAGAGCGGGCGACATCTAAGCTACAGGTGCCCGCAGGACAAGTTTAGAAACATGAAGGCCAAGGCCCAACGCGAATGCCAAGCATTATGGAAGATGGAGCATGGATGCTAATCCTACTGTGTATTCATATGGAGCCCTCACGAATGACTAGTTCGAGTTTCTGTAATTTTAGTCTTTCCTGGATCTTTCTCCTGAATTTTGATCGATTATAAATAAATAAAAATATTTAATGCAAATAAAAGAAATATCTTTCCTGACCCTTCCCAGCACAGACCTTTTGCGGTTCAACACCGGCTCCACCCCAAGCTGGCTTCACCACAGTGGCCGTCTTTGCAGCAGGACTTTGCTGTACTGGCTGGTTCCACTGGAGACGTTGCGATGCATTAGACCACGTTGCATTCGATTGAATATTGACTGTCTCCTGCTGTAACAGGAGAAATTACATGAAGAAACCACATGAACTTCGGGCACAACCACGACAATTAAATCACAGCACACCAGCTCGAACCAGGATGTGAAATGAACCTCTTTTCTCAGCCGAGCTTGCTGTTCTTGCTCTGCGCGCAGTTGCCGCTCCTCTTCTTCCTGAATCTCTTTCAACGTCTTCTCTTTTGCTGGAGCTACCGCTGATGCAGCTACCCACGGTGCAACTGAAAATTGTTTATGAATCGTTAGTTCTGAGACAGTTCTAACATTATGAACATTGGTATAAGTGTCGCAGCGACGTATATTACGCCTTACGCCCCAGCCATCCGAAATCAGGCCAGTTCCTGACCGACTTTTTTCTCCGTGGGCAGAATTTGCTGAAAATTTGACTCCAGGGGTAGTTCGACCCGCTGAACACGAATATCACTTCCATTTTGCATGGAAAAACCTCATTCTTCTCTGCGAGTCGTATGATCAATACTTCTTCAAAATCCCGCGCTCGCATCAATCTTCAGGGTATTTTGGCGCCGGCGTCCGTGGTGCGTTTTCAGCGGGTCGAACTACCTTAAGAGCCAAGTTTTCAGCAAATTCTGCTGAATTCTGCTAACGGAGAAAAAGCCTTTGAAAGCGCCGCGACTGATATCAGCTGTATGTAAACAAATGCAATACTGCACTGCTGGGCACGATGGCTGAGGGCGGATGGTTACTGCCAATGCCTTGCAAGGCATTGGGTACGATTTCTGGCGGCCGGCTTTTGTTGCAATGCTATTGGTGGAAGCGCTGAGTGGGATGTGGATAAACGCCCTCCTTCAGCCCTTCCACCAATGACACTGCAACAAAAGCCGGCCTCCAGAAATCGTACCCAATACCTTGAAAGGCCAAATTTCCCGGCATCCAGTAAAAGACTTATAGGCGCTTCAGAATAGTCGTCCCACATTTCTGAATCCCACCGCTCGGAATGAAGAATATTTTCCCATAAACGTTAAAAAGCATATTCAACATAGGGCTCAAAATCTGTCAGTGCATGTCAAATAAATGTCATCATGAAAGGTTGAAAAGGTATGTATATGAGTTTCAAAGACCTTTGGTCGTGTTGGACTTCTTCGCTACGTTTCCACCATCAGCTGCTGGTTGCGAAGAAGGCTTCGGAGCAGCCTGTAAGGAGACAATAATGGGATTTCAATTAAAATCTTCAATGTCTTCATAATTCGTCCCGGAACTGGTCTGTACTTCATACTACTTTAGCGGCATCTTCTAACGAAGCTGCTTCAGTGCCTCACTCCACCTCACATTTCATTGGAGAGTAGTAGGGTTCAAAGTTACAAATTATAGGAGCTTAGACCCATTCTTCAGGAAAAAGCAAGAGAATTTATTGAAAGCGCCGGTAGAAAGATCCTGTTTTGAAGCTAATTCCTAGTGTTGTATAACACGAAATTACGACGAAGACTACTGGATGATCTGGCAAGAGACAAGAGACATGCCCTGAGAGAGAAGTGATGAGCAAGACTACACACCGATGCATTTACAAATCGCGCTCATTTCTAGATTGTACCACTCCAATGGGCTGGAACGAGCCAGCACCTCCGTCGATGCTGGTGCTCTCCATGTACGAGGTAAATGGATCGCTGCAGTACAGTGCCACTTTCTGTGCTTAATTGTTGGGAACGGGGTTTGAGGGCGGAGGGTTGAGGTTGGGACGATACCCGAGTGCCGTCTCCCGACCCGCGCACGTTGCAACACGACCAGCCCATGCATAACCAAAGCCAAAGGCGCTGCTGGTCTGCGCGTTTCAGTTCTGGTCGTTCTCCTGCACAAGGCGGAATTTCGGCGTCAGCTAAAAACAACTGCACTTCGAACATAGCCCATATGACATCAGGAGACGGA